TACGTCACCTGCCAGTCTTTAATTTCCCAGTTGGAAAATACTATCGACACAAGAGCGATTAGTCCATCGCGCCCGGCGAAATTAAAATCCTTCGGCGCGAGGATAATACGGTTCGGAATGCGACATCCACGATCATTCATTCGGCCTCATTGAGAATGTAGTAGCAAAAGTGGTACAAAAAGTATACTGGCTTTTCGAGAAGATTACGTTTTAGGTTTTAATTGTCACTACAGAAGAGTCGTGTATATTTATACTGGTTACTCAAACCACACTGGAAAAAAAAAAATACATTGGATCTAGAGTCCAGACTCTTAAAAACATCGACAAGAAAAAATACTCTTGATTCGATCAGATTTTAGGTTAAATCAAGAACCAAGCCTCTTAATTTGAGCGGATTTTTTTCTGATTTAAGCTTAAATCTGATTGAATCAAGAGTCCTTATTCTTGTCAATGTGTTCAAGAGTCTGGACTATACATCCAATGTGTTTTTTTTCCAGTGCAATGATCATTCAAACCATCTAACTTCATCATTTTGAGTGGTAAAAAATCAACGAATCTTGTCTTTGACGGAGACAGTGATAAGCTGACTTCAAACGCTGAAAATGGGTCATCGGCGTTGCTGTCGAATGTTGACCCTCGAAACCCATTTTCAGGTATTGTTCTTTTCATACAAAAACTATTACGAATTTTTACAAATTTACAATTTTTTGCAACATTGCGGGTAACTTTGAAACTTGGGCCGCCATTTTAAGAACAGAAGTGAAATGACGGCTGATTATAGCCCCGACCTCATCGATCGCTAAAAATTGCGTGTTGTGGCTCACTTTTCAGGGCATTACTCCACGATGCATCGGAGACCTCCATTTTCAGCGTGTAAAGTCGGCAATAGAAAAGGAGACAGCGTCCGTATTAAGTGATCAACCGGAAAAGCAACTTTTTTGACAATTAAGTAATGTGGTGTTGCGTCGAATTTTATGGAAGGCGATGTATTGAACAATGTCATCGAGCCTCTGCTGTGTGGTGACACAGGCGTTGCTGTTGCTGGCATTGATGCTAGATTTTTATTACTTAAACCGAATAGACCCTTTCGCGGAGAAAACTCTACAAAATAAGGTAAACCATTAAAAAAATCGAGCAAGGAGCGACTTCTAAACGTCAAAACGGTGAGAGGGAGGAAAGGGAAGAAGAAAAGAAGGGACAAGAAAATAATTAACTCATCCACTCTCAGACACGGGGAAGTAAAACTTTGACTCACGGTTCAAGGAGGAGAGGGGCTTAAGACAATGTCACATCATTAGGTTAAAATGGATTGATGACCACTAACGACGTCCATTGTGCGAATGACGAGCGTTGCAGTACACTGAACCGTCCTTGATATACTGTGAGGGAAAAATCGAAGCGCGAGAAGCGCATGAAGGGAAAGAGCGGTGTAAAAAGAGGCCAAAGAGTGTGTTAGGTCGATTAGAGTCGAGAATAATGGGACCGAATAGACCTGCTCTGTGTAGCAAGAACAATGTATCTCCTATGAAAACTCAATGCAGATCCGCGGTTCATACTTACCACGACATAGCACACGCATGGTCCGTTGTGTGGTTGAAAAGGACTCGTAACTCCAAACAGTTTCCAATGATTATATTCAGAACTCCAATGAGTGCATTCAGAACTCCGATGAGTATATTCAGAACTCCAATGTGTATATTCAGAACGCCAATGAGCATATTCAGAACTCCAATGAGTATATTCAGATCCGCGGTTTCTGTTTACCATAACATATGGCATAGTTTACCCGCACATGGTCAATCATGCTAGACAGAACCTCGCAACTCCAACACCGGTGAGTAATCTTAAGCAGATATGTGGTTATTGTTGGCACGACTAGAGCTCGTTCATGGTCCCTCGGGCCGCATGGAAAGCAGCCGCGCCATATCAAACGAATTCTCGCTGATAGATTTGAGTCACTTACCCAATTTAGATAGGGTTTCAAATCATGACATAAGTCAGGTGAGGAATATACGCCGTGGTTTGATCGTACAGCCGACGTTTGCATAGATCCACTCTCGAGTCCACCTCGAGAGATGGGCCCAAAACTGTGAGCGTGGCTCCAGGCCCGCCACATCCCATCTCGGGCCCTGGTACCAATTTTCTGGCCCGGGCCCCTAGCACAGGGGGGGGGGGGGGGTCCGGGGGGCCTCCCCCGGGAAATTTTTGAAATTTTAAATCTATTTGGACGCATTATGAAGCTCTTAAGATGGAGATTTTCCATCAATTTCTGCAGAATGATTACGCCTTTTTGTTTACTTTCAGCACCGAAAACTTTCGAATTGTTGCGTTCAAAACATCTATAAATTTTTTTTGAGGGGGCAGATGATAATTTTCAATTCTATGGGGAGCCGGGCCCCCCTGGACTCCCCTTTCGTACGTCTATGGCAAGGGATTTAAGCCATTGAAGTCGAGGATGCCCAGAAAGGAGCCTCTTAGCATCCGACAATGGAAGAAAATGAAACACAGTTACTAAAAATATCATTCTACATATACTCAAAATCTTGAAAATCTCTAAAAAAGTAAGAAAAATTTTATAGTGCCCTAGCGTGTTTTTGAAACTTTATTCACCTTTTGCGGAATTGTTAGGGTAATTTTTTCACTTTTCCCTACGAGACAAGGGTTACACATGAATTCGTAGTGGTTTGTCACCTGCGTCACGGGCCCCTCCAGGGCCCGGGCCCCGGTACCAAGGACCCAGTATCCCCCCCCTTGTGGCGGGCCTGCGTGGCTCTCATTTTTGCTATAAATTAGTCGAGTTTTTGCAGATGCACTGCAGGCGAGGGGAATTTACTTTCATTGAAATTGAGGTCCAATATACGTGAAAAACAAATCTGTATTCACCGACTATAATTTGGAGCTCTTGTATGTGTTAGGAATTGGCGATTTAAGTAGTGATTCGGATGTAAAATTTTGTGAGAAACACGACGGTGCCACCGGTCTTCTCTGAGAATATACCTCCTCCATTACGGCCTCAACTTTGAGAGCGTGTTTTGAGCTTGGGAGTACATTTCGGAGAAATCCAGTGTCACCATCGTGTTGCTCGCAAAACTTTGCGAAAGAAACAGTAGTTAAATCGTAACCCCCCCCCCCCCNCCCCCCACACATGCAAGAGCTCTTCTGTTTCTGCCTTCCATTGATAGGTCACAGCGGAAACAACTTTTGGGCATACTGGAAGTTCATTTCACCACTTCTGCATCTATGTACTCACTGCTCATTGATGTATTATTCAGTGCGCGTTAAAATAACGTGTAGTTCAAATCATTTAAAGTAGTATGAACTCAGAGTGGATTCAATCCTCGCAATCAATCTCCTCCCTCTTGTCTCGAGATACACTCCGGAATCGACTAAACTCCTCGTTTTCGTCCAATATTTCGAACGATAATTTCTGTTTTGACAAGTTCCGTTATTCGAACCGAAATTCAGTTATTATGACCAAACATTTCGGTTGCTCGATCCTCACTCGGATGTTTGTAGAAATCAAAGCTCGCGGTCCACTCAACTGAAATGATTCCTCCTTGCGGCAACAGTGTTCCTCCGAAAGATGAGAACTCGATTAAAACAATCCCGTCAGGAAGACTGACGGGTCACAGACGAGCCCGCTTCTTGCGAGCTGATTTTTATTTGATTGTATCAACTCATGTAAAGACAATCATTAAACGGTACGCAGCGGCGTGTTCTTGCTATCACTTTCCGCGGCCCGCCCCGTGCGCCACCCTTAAATCCTCTCTCATTCCTCCTCCACATCTCGCAACCTTCCCGAGAGGAGGAAGGGTAGTTAGACCCCACTACTCGTTTAGAAAAGCTCACTCGGCTCCTTTCCTCACATAGTTGCCGAACCGTGCACTTGCCTCGCGTATGATCCGGGATAGATGATAATGATTCCATTGCCTAACTCGGCAGCCTCGCGGCTAACGATTGCCGGACTGCGCTCAGAATGAGCACCTCCTCCTGCACGGCTGTGTGTGATACGGCGCGTTCTGGCGACCTCGTTTTCACGACTCTATCTCCAGCTCCGACCGGTTAATCTGATTTCGAGAGCAAAGGAAATGGAAAAATAAAGACATTACGCTCTAATTGTAGACTTACCAGCCGGGCTAACTGCTCAGGCTTATCTATCGGGGTATAACCTATCGAGAGCCTCATTGATGATTCTCCGCTGCCGCTCGCCTTGAGCCCTGTTCCGTGGCCATTTCCGCTTTTAACTCTGTCGACTTCCCGTCCATATTCCTGTTTGGACGTCGTTAAGCCCGGAGGATCCATGTACAATGCCGTTCTGCCTTTTCCGATTGGATGTGTTTCAGAAAAATCCATGGTGCGCTCGTGCCTTGAGTCACCCAAGCAGCATTTCTCAACGGGAAAATCGCTATATATTGCGATTTTATCGGCGATAAAATCGCCAGGATCATCAACGTCTGAGCGATTATCCGCGATCTTATCGCGATGAACTCGCGCTTTTATTGCCCTATAGTTAATCGCGATATTTTCGAAATAAAAATCGCGATAAATGGCGAATCTCGATTTCATCGACGAAAATTGATCACGATTTTATCGAACCAAAAATTGCGATGTGTAGCGATTTAATCGCCGTAGATCACAATTTTCAATGCGATACATCTCAATATATTGCCACCAATATAATTGCGATAGCCAACCAATAAAATCGCTATTCATCGCGATCACAGCTACTAGGGCACAGCTCTCGAGTCTCTTGCACGCTACACTGAGAAAAATCTTCGGTTTCTACAGAGCACCATTAAAAGTGGTAAATGAACCTGAATGGTAAATGAGTGATAAATGATTTTTGGTCTTCGAAACACACAAAAGGATGTGATATTTAAAAGCAATCACAATTTCATTTACCACTATTAATGGTGTTCTGATACATAACGGTTCATAAACCAAATATTTTAAGTGTGGAGATTAGAATATTTCGATTAGCGATTGATCGATGAATCGATAAATCAAATATCTTTAGATTTAATCAGTTGTAAAAGTCGGATTATCTGTTCAAGGGATTATTCACTACTGATTAATCGACCATTAAAAACGTGGCCAATTCATGTGTCAAATATCTAAAATTCACCACAAAACCTTTAATGATTTCAGCTCAATTCTTAAAAATACTGATATTTTATTGGGGAAAAGAGGATTTTAGGGGAAAATACGGAGATAGTGGGTCACTGAACCCCGCGTGTTTTTTATTTAATACTCTGCAAGTACCAGGTGAGTAGAATACTTAGTGATTTATTGCGAGTTTTTGGAGACAAAATCCCGGGAAAGCCCGCTTTTATGGAGTACAAAGATTCGAAGAAATTACAAACGCGCCGGAATGGCGGGGAGATAATGAAAATGATGTACTACGCGGCAATAAAATCGATATCTACTCTCGTTTTCCTCTAAATCTTCTTTAGGAAAAAACGTGCCTATTTCAATGTGTAATAATTGGACCGCGTTTAACAGAAAGGAACCAAGCCACATTAGCTATTGCCAAATTTAACCGGGCAATTTAATTTTTTACGAGAGAAAGTCTGTGTGGATATCTTTGAAAATTTTAAGGAATTAGCTTCGTACCATGAAGAAAATTCACCGTTTGCACGAAAATCTGCACAACGGTTTTCATGTAAAAACTTAAATTGCCAAATTAAAGTTGGCAACAGCTGATGTGGCTTGGTTCCTTTCTGTTTAACGCGGTCCAATTTTTGCTTGTTTCACTACAGAGTGTACCTACCGGTGGCATCATCATAAGATTTGATTCTTTCTGAAGATATAGTTTCGACTTTAATATATTGTCTTCATATACGAGAAGAAGAGAGATATTTGACGGAATACATTAAAAACCCGTGCTAACTTCTAATTGGTGTCGGAATACATCATTCCGTTCGGCGCGAAACCGTGGCGTTTTAAATTTGCGGAAAAGTTCAGCTTTTCGAACTGCGTTTTCCTGGGTTACTGAGTTACTTTTCACATTTTTTATGTGCTTATCGTGTTCTACTCGTCCTTTACCATTACTCTATATAAAGCTGCTGTTCCCACTCACTATGCCCCCCCTAGATAAAAATTGGCCGAAGCGATTTCCTTTAAAATTGGTACACGCTCAGCTATTGTAATGAGGAGTTGATTAAAATTATTCCCACTCAAATCCGCTGCTTAGGACGCCCGCAAGAGCGAAAAGTTGTTTCTCCATATAGTATTACATTGGAGATACGCGGTTGTTTACGCGCATCGCGCCGAACAGGTTCAATCCTGTTGCGTGACGTCACTGCCTTATAGACGAAATATAAGGTTTTAGGCGGTATTTTTCAACGGATTTTTGAGGAAATTGGTAAGCGGGGGTATTTTTCAACGGGGATCTCGAATTTTTGGTCGGATTTTCAAAATCTCAAAATCCAAGATGGCGGCCGTGGCTTAAATGCTAAGTCGGCTCCTGTTCGATTGATTTTCGTGAAACTCGGCATCTGGAGGTACTTTTCGACGGGAAACTCGAATTTTTGGTCAGATTTTCAAAATTCAAAAATTCAAGATGGCGGCCGTGGTCTAAAGTGCTACATCGCTTCCTGATATCGATCGATTTTTGTGAAACTTTATATTAGGAGGTGTATTTCGACGGGAAATTAGAATTTTAGGTCCGATTTTCAAAATTCAATAATCAAAAATGGCGATCATGGTCTAAAATGCTACATCGCTTCCTGATATCGATCGATTTTTGTGAAACTCGGTATTAGGAGGTGTATTTTGACGGAAAACTCGCATTTTTGGTCAGATTTTCAACATTTCCGAATCCAAGATGGCGGCCCCGCAGGAAAACGCGGTCCGGACTCCTAGAACATCAATTTCTGTAAAATTTGGTGAAAAAGAAGATTAAGACATAGATGTTGTCTCCTCATCAATGTTAAAAACTGTGCGGGCGGTGGCGGCTCGCGGAGCGAGTCGCAAGTTCGTCGCGAAGCGTAGAACTGGGGTCCAGGGGCACTCCCCGGCTAGACGTGTCAGCTCGCAAAGCGAGCTAATCACGACTAGTTATAAATATGAATTTGCCAGTCACGATGCATTCATGGTTTAGTGACTCATGGTGGCAAAATTTGCTGAACTGTCACCGGAAAGGTTCGGCACACGTGAATATAGATTCTCGAATTCAGCACGAATGCTGATTCACACCTGGAACCTTTTAATAGGCGTTCCAAGGCACACGTTCTCATTGAAAATTTACCGTATGAATATTAATCGATGAAATAACCGAATCATTTTGATTTGGTTCGATTAGTATTTGATTAGGCACTGAATGTTCGATTATTCAAAAATTCGACTAATCGACGAACTCTACGACAGGTAAGTACACTTGTCAAGTTGGCTGATGGACGTCACAAATGAGAATAAAAATTACACAATTTAAACGTTTTTCGAAATTCTTTATCGACTCATTCCCTAATTCTTTTCCTCCGTTGCTCCTCTTATTCCGTTTGTTCGCCCTGATGCGTGCCTCCAATTCCTCGGTCCATTCCAGTTTATAATATTCGCAATCGGTGCAAATGTAATCGTTACTCTCGTCTGTGACAATGCGGCAGCCTAAAATACAGGAGCCAATCAAAAATAGATTCCTCATGTCTTTCCTCTCAATATAAAGGGACTCCATCTCTCTCTTTTCCCACTCTATCTCCGTTTTAGGCGCGGTGTGCCGTATTATATTAATATACAGGGTTACAATACCCCGGGGAGGCGAAAAGTAGTAAGAAAACAGGCCCCCAATATTTTACGAGCGCGGGATTTTGGCTCATTCGTTACTTTCAAGTGTTTTCAGGATTCCCCCAGGATCTGGATCATGGGTTTAATGATGTGTTGTACGGAATTCAAATCTCGCTGCCCGCAGCCTGCTTCTCATTTTTTGTCATTAGGGTAGGTTTACGGCGGACAGTGCTTTAAGCCCGCTCGCAATCTCGCACATTTTTTTTATTTTTATTTTTTTGTTTTATTTTTTTTAACAGAGAAAAAAATGTCCAATCGAGCTTGATGTAAAGAAGAGAGACGAGGTGTATACCTCTTTTCGGTTTTGTCTGCAACTGAATTGTGGGGAAGAAATAAGAAGGAGGTTCTAAGTTAGAAAAATTGTCAGTCCGCGATCATGAGAACGTTGCTCCATTCTGAAGGCGCATCACTGAAAAACATTCTCGGCGTTTTTACCACGGTCCGTTGGTACCTTTACCATCTCACTTTTTTTTACCAATTATTGGTAATTTTACCAAGACAGACTGGTAAGCTTACCTAAAACCCGGTATTTTTAATGTTTCTTTTTTCAGGTAAGAATATACCACTTTTATTGGTAATCAATCCCGGTAACTTTGCCATTTTATCTCGGTAATTCTACCACAGTCGATAAAAAATATTGGCGTTTTTTCCAAGGTCCAGTAAAATTACCGAGAAAGTTCAATAATTTTAACTAGATTTCTCGGTGAAATTACCAATTCGATAAATGGTAATTTTACCAAGAAAAAACTGGGATCAAATAGAACCCTGAATTCTTGGTAATTTTACCTTTTTCTTAGTAAATACACCGAGATTTTTTTTTCAGTGCAATATGTACACGATACATGTGTTTTTGTTTTCCTCTTCAGGAGAATGCGATTCCCTGAAATTTAGCTGTTTTGCTCTTCATCTGATGAATGAGTAGCCCAATTTATGATTGAAGTAGCCACCCAGTTCTCGGGTTAAAAACATAAATAGAGAGAGGCAATTTTGAAACGTTTAAAGCTAGTTGTATCCATTGGTCTGGAGTGCGACGGAATAAACTATGGTATTCAATGTTTGAAATGAAGCGTAACTTAATGGTTCGCATCACTCGAGCCTTAACTTTTATGGAGGGGGGGGGGATCTTCGGAGTACGTATGTAAAGCTATAACTACAGAAGTTTTCTTTCAGAAAGTTATGGAAATCTTTACAGATGGAAGGGCTCTTGAAAAACAAATAACGACATCTACTTTAGTAATCAATTTCAGCGTTTTCAAAATCACATTCAAAAGGAAGAGAACTTACCTCAATTTAGCAAGGAGGAGTGGACGGCTTTGAAGGCACTGAGGAATATTTTTCTCAAAAAAAAAGAAAAAAAAAGTATTTTTATATATTTTTCTGGGGGGCGGGGGGGGGGGGGGGGAAGCTTTTAGTGTCATTTAGGTTTCCCCACCTGAAGCAGTTTTAACAGTGCACTACGGTAAAATTTTTTTATTTATTTATTTATTTATTTTTTTTTGAGAATCAACTAGAAACTCTTT